AAATCACCTCCACGTCAAGAGACAATAGAATTACAATAGATGAGAAAGCATGTGCACTTTCTCTTCCTGACAGGTACTTTTGATGATGAGTTGCATATTTGGAAGACATATTCTGATTGATTTCGTCATTGCACTTCTTTTCTTACGCTCATAAATCATGTCTAGAGATTCAAATAAAGCAACGAGTATGTAAGTTAAATACAGTTTATATAATTTGACAGGGTATTGATGACTTTTTTCAACGTATGTCATTCTTAAATTAGATAACCGTTATAAGAGTACCTATAATATCTTATGCAGGTTCTAACCAACCAATCGTTTTGCTGCATAACTACTGGGTACGAACTCAGATATCATTTATGTTGATAAACATAATATAATCGTTATTATTTAAATACCGTACAAAACATTTTTTGAACGGGTCAAGTTAAACTGAAATTTGAGGTAATGGAATTGATGCATGAGTATGTACTATATTCCAGCGTAAAAGTGGCTGTTGAAGATTCCAAGATAACAGTTGGGCGCCATTTTGGAGCATATTTAAAATTGAATGGGGGATCACGTAATGCCTCATTTTTGAAGCTACCTACGAGTACTTAAGTCCTAGAACATAGGATCGCAATGGCGAACTAGCAGGCTGAGAAAGTTGAGCTTTTTATTCATTGAGACACTTATGTCCCAACAACCCGTCATCAAAATGCTATAGCATGTTATATGATTATTGGTTTCTTGAATTGTATCCGTGTAGGTAATAACGTATAAAAATATTTATTGGGTACGAATTCAGAAATCCTTTGTGTTGCTAAAATCTTAAAAGATAATAAACATAATATAAGCAACGTATTTATTTTTATTATTTAAACATTTTTGAACGCATCTAGTTAGCAAGCTGAAACTTGAGTGAATTAAGCTTATGCATGAAAGCGTTGAAGTCGCAGTTGAAGATTTCAAGAAGCCATTTTAAAGCATTCTTTTACAAGAAATGGGGGTTATGCGATATCTCATGTTAAAGCTACGTTTAGAATATAAAATCTCTTCTTCTTGCGAAATGGATATTAGGCTGTCAAAATTGGGCTTTTTTTTATATTGAGTCGCTTGTAACTCAACAGCCAGACCTCAAGATGCTATAGTATGTTATATTATTCTGGTTCTCCTGAAAAAATCTATCGGAATATGTAATAAAATCTGGAAAAAATATCTAAAGAATTTTTCAAAAACTGTCCGTTTTTTTCAAATTGAATGTCTCATACTTTATTGCACATTCACAAGAAGTGTACATATTATAGCGGTTTGATGATTGGTTTCGCCAGTTATGAAGATAGTGATTTTATATTCCAAAGCTATAAAGTACACATTTAAAATAAGGTGTCATGCAACCCCCCAAAGTTTGAAAATTTAATATTTTTAGTTGTTTTTACGTTCAAATAATATATACTATAATGCGTCAATTTTACCATTCCGAATTTCAACTTGACCCGTTTAAAAAAAAGGCGGTGTAGGAGCCTTTTGAAATATCCAAATCCAAGCCTGCATGATACTTGGAATTATCATAAGGATATGTGCCTGGTCCTTTGTTCTTCGATTTTAGCAGAACTTCAAAATGTCCAGGTCCAGAAGTCAATTCGTGCAACTTTAGGAAATTTATACTCTCCCTGTAACCATTTCAGTGCATTAACAGATAAAAAGTTAACACTCCAACATAATTCCTAAACCAGTAAAATCGCAACCAACTTAAATTATGCTCCTCTTGGAATTTCTTCATTTTCACTTAAATACAACTCGAGTGTAGGTTCGTGAGAACCAGAATAATCTATTTTACTCAAGTAATCGACTTCACATAGGATTGCTAAGAAATTCTCCAATCATTGACACATCCGCACAATTACCAGAATCTATTAACACAAGTCGGCAAGGAAAGCCACCAAGGCGTTTTTCAATAACAAATACGTACGATAACATCTAAATAGTACTTTACCTATAAATTCAAAGCCTCTGCAATAGTCACTTAGAATGTGGACTGAGGTAGCTTCTAAATCCTATGCAGTAATTAACTAACTGATGTAGACAAACATGTTCGATTTGAAAGTCACTTATATTAGTAAATATTGCAGTATAATAATAATGAATAATAAATGGACTTTATTTCGTACAGGAGGTCAAAAAGGTTCTCGTATATGACATATTTCTATTCCTTGTATTTAGCTGATTTATCTCGCTAAATCCTGCAAATTATGCAAATATCGTGGTTGTTTAGTGGCTTGTGGCTACCTTATGTGTGGGTCTCGATAAGTGGAGTCCTTGCACGCCTTTAATCTGCTGAATACGAAGCTCCTTGAATGTATGATAGATATGATCAAAATTTCGTGTTCCACAAGAAAATCTGACGCACGAATTCTGAATACGCTGTAATTTGCTTTGTTCACTATATGCTGGTTAGGGTCCATATATTATAGTGTCACAATAACTGCTGTATAATGAATTTATTCATATTATGATTGATGTATTTTAGTTCTGTGTCAATCCAGAGTCCCAAGTTTTTACAGTCACTCATTATAGGAAGATGGTTATTATAGATTTGACGCTAATTTCTATTTCGATCGACGTTCTTTTGTTTTTTGAGCCGAAATCCATAACTGAAGGTTTAGATGGAGTAATTTTTAGGTCCACTGATTAGTAAAGGATTGTAGAATTATTGACATATTCATGGAAATCTGATGTATACACAGAGAAAAGTAAGGGACTCAATATGGAACCCTGAGGAACTCGGTACTATATAGCAGTTGGTTCTGACATTTTTGAAGCTTATGACCTGGCAACTTCATTCACATAATAAAATACAAGGATGGCCAAGATCATATATAGGACATACTTAACAATATATAAAGAAAAGGATGTATGAGTATGACATAAGGAATAAAGCGATATGTCCACCGCGTTAGCAAATGCAAAACTTCTAGACAAAGAACCGGATTATTTCAAAAGAAACATCCTTCAAATGACGCTACCAGTATAAATTTTAGTGCTAAAAATATTCTACCATTTAAATTTTATAAAATAAGTTGAATTAAATCAACGTAGCTGTTGCATTCTCCCACGCATACTACTCACGCAATGTAAAACGATAATATTCTTTTATGTATTTTTTTACCTCGGTTTTGTTTACGTTTTTATTAGCAAATACGAGTATTTCTGGCCAGTCGTCCTCCTGCACTCAACCTAAGAACATCTATCTGGCAGAAATGTAATTATCTTTATCAACTAGTGAGACCTTCTGTATATTAATTTTACTTTTTTTTAAATATTTCTTCCTTTTTAATGTGCTTTGTGTTGTAATTTCTGAAGATGGCGCTTAAAGTCGCCAAGACGTCGTATTTTTAATAAATGTTTTAGGTTGACCGAAGAGTTTACTTGAACACGTAACGAAACCATAATAATAATAATAATAATAATAGGCTTTCCTTACACAGGAACGCATCTTAGACCACCTGCGGCAGAAGACCCATGATGCCATGTAGATATTACTCCAACCGTTTCGCGACTTAATGATCTAATCCTAACGCACCCAATTTATCAATATAGCTCTTTCACGTACTCATCGATGCTGTATTGTGTCGTGATGAAGCGTATAAAACCCCAATGGAAGCTGGAGGCCTAGGCCGCGTCTAGCATATAATAAAGTGTACCCAGGGCGATAGCAACTCATCTCCATACAAAGAGTTGCCACGGAGAAACGCTGCACAGTGTAATCTATAAAAGCCGAGTACGCACACAGACACGTATCAGATGCTCCTGCTCCTTTTGAATCCCGGGAGGCTGTGACAACTCACACCAGTCGCCAATGATGGAGTCGCTGCGTGTGTTTCAATTTTACGGCTATTGGGTAGAAACCGAGGAGTAACGTATACTGGCAATTTCCGATCTTTTCAGTATAGTTAGGCGCGTGTGATGTCACGTCACAAAGTATACGGAATACTGTATAGATAAAACAGGGGTAAAAAAATGCAAGGGGTGATTGGACTATGTTGAAAGTATTTTGTTCTCTCACACAAAATAATGTTTATTCCTAATCTAGAAAAATCAGAACCTACAACCAGAATAGAAGTCCAATCCTCTCCTCATAGTTTGCTGAATTCTTTCAAATACACCAGGGCAGCAGCGGTGGTCGCTTCAGGCAGCAGCAGTGGCCGCAGTAGTAGACTCTTCGGTCTCCTGATCAGTCGCCGTGGGCTGTGTGGGTTCGAATCCCGTCCAAAGAGAAATTTTTCTCTTGGCGATTGATGTTGCGATTGTCCGTAGGTGGTAGACGGTCTCTGAATGTCGAACGCAGAGATATCATCCGGCGGATTTCGTAGGCGGGGCGAGAATGTGTGCATGTTGCATGCACACGTGTTCCCTCGCCAGAGTCCATGTGGCGTTCCCCCTTTTCCCTCTATCTGCCTATAGTCCCACGGGTGTTTCGGCCTTAGGCCTTCGTGGTAGTTGGAATATGAAAAATAGGTCAGTTCTGGGTTGCATGAAGGAATTAAACTACTAATTTTTGACTGACCCCATTACGAATGGGCCATAGAGCTTCAGCCTGACGGTCGAGGAAACTTCTGAGTCAGATCCTTCTCGATCTATCTAACGGTCCCAGGAAAACAAACGACCAACTGTACTGAGGTTACTAGATGTAACCATTTATAGACCTATATCTCTCTTATGCAGTATACCTAAAGTTGTTGAGATATTGTTTAAAGTATAAATGGTATCGTTTATAGATAAATACAAAATTATTCCAGGTACTCAATTTGGCTTTAGAAGATATAACTTCACAAGATGCTATGCATCTACTGGTTGAGCGTATATACGATTACATAGATAAAAAAGTTCCATGCTTAAGTATCTTCATTGATCTGATAAAGACATACGATACGGTAGATCATAAATTGTTGCTTCATTAATTAGAAAGAACAGGATTTGTAGAAAAGCACAATCACTACTAAGATTATTTTATTATAGTGAAACAAAATACCTTAAACATGGAGACCCAAAAGGCACAGTGCAAGGACCCTTGATATTCATTCAAACTGAAACAAAACGTTAGATAAATAATCTTTGAAAATGATACAAAAACAATGTATTAGAGAAAACATAGCAAGCCTAAAAACATTAGTTGAAACAGATTTTTCGCATATATCTAATTTACATCATATATACCTATAATCAATGACATACCTTAGGATCTTCATTAGATCACCATCTAAAGTGAGATAGTCGCATAAAAAAATCAAGGTACTAACTACATAAAATCAAAATTCTTAGTAATATACTAATATTACCTCAGATGAAAATAATATACAGCTCACTGACTGAAAGTCATATCTCCTATGCTATAACAGCCTAGGGTGCACCACAAAATGTATACATTTCACCACTGCATCGATTACAAAAAGTGATGGTGAGGAAGATATGTAATAAGTCCATTCGACAACCCATCTGAACAACATAACAGACTTTTTGGATTAAATCAATTGTATTTCTATAAAAGTTCTTGAAGGTAAAGCTATTACATATTTAGATCAGAGTTATGATACACGAAGCAAACTATCCAAAATTAATGGGCCAGAGTCAAATAAAAGTATATTTACTAGATTTCCGAGCTTTTTAGGCCCAAAGTTTTACAATAGTGCGCCTATAAATACATATAATCCTCAAAACTTCAGTTTATTTAAAAGAAAACTAAAAGTTTGGGTGAAAACATTACCTAGAGGAAATATAAAAAGTTATCTACGCCTAGAAAAATCACATGCTGTATAGAATTACAAAGAAAAGTGCGCACATTTATTATTTTGTTTACTTCCGTAAACCTCTATGGGGTATTCGAAAAGAGAAATTATTTTTACGCCACGTTCAAGGATTTGCATTTTTTGGTTTATTTGTTCACCATACGTTATAATTTTTACAGTGTGTGATATTTTTTATAAAATGAAGAATATTAGACAGCTATTTCAAAAATTTGCATATTTTACCAGTAGAATGATCCAGCTGTATCTGAAAGAACTCGACAGTCTACGATGAGGAGATCGTAGACTTGCATACTATCTGGACCAAATTACCTATTTTGAACAATTCTTGACAAATAAAGGCAATATAAATGATAAAAAATGTTACAACAGGAATTTACTTTGCCCTGGCCAAACGACGAAATAGTGGAAATAATCATCCTTGAAATATACTGAGTGACAAAAAACCTAGGTATGTTTATCCGACTTTAATAATTTTTGGCATAAATGCTCAGTGTCCCTTACTAGTAAAATGATTGAATTTTCAGTTTGATCCGTCAACTGACTGCAGAAGCTGGTTCAATGATGTGTTGAGGATCCACGATTTCTTATACACTCATTGACACGCCTAGGCATTGTCCTGATAAGGTGGTCGATATCCTGTTGGGATATATTATTCCACGCCATTGCAACTTCGTGAGTAAGAGTTGCTGAAGTCTGTGGATTGTATTGCAAATTCAAGAGCCTGCGACCTATCATGTCCCAGACATGATCAATTGGAGATAGGTCAGGCGATCATGGTGGCCTAGGTAAACGGTTGATGCGATGCTCATCCATGAAGGCTAACGATGCTCTGGCAACATGCGGTGGGGCATTGTGTAGCTGAAAAATCGAGTTTTGGATGCTGTTTAGGTATGGAATAAGATAAGGCTCCACTACTTCCTTAATATACCGTCGGACTGTCATATTGCCTCTGATGAAAGCTAGAGGTGATCTGCTACCATAAGCAATAGCACGCCATACCATAACTCCCACGGTGTGGTGAACGTGTCGCTCTTTGTCAAATTGTGGGTCACGTCTTTCACCACGTCGCCGAAGCGGGATTCGTCACTAAAGACCACCTGATTCCATTCCCGGTCCCAAAAAATTCTTTTCCTACACCAGAGCAAACGGTTACGCCGATGTTCAGCTGTGTGAGGTAACACCCAACGTGGACGATAAGAAAAAAGGGCAAACTGTCGTATTCGGCGATATACCGTACGCATACCAACCATCCTTCCTACTACTACTGAATCTGTCTGTCAGAGCCAGATGTCTTAACCGGCGGTCTTGAAGAAACTTAGCTGGGACACCCGGCAAATTCTAGGCACTCTAGGCATTTTGTGCAATCACAAAAAGGGCTTCTCAATAAGCTACCCGAAATTCAACATTTAACTGGCACCGTAAATGTACGAAAACTGAATGCTTCTTTATCACCAAACAATACACGCAGCCACCACAAAAACTTAACAGAAAAACCTGACCATACTATCACTTGTTTTTCATGGTGAGATAAATCGATATGTAAAAAATTCTTGAATTCTAATAAACATACGCAGGTGTGTTTATAGTATAGATCCTCTCTAACCGTGTTTAGTTTGAACGTTAATCTAAATAACCCTGTTATTCATATTCCTATCATTAGATACTTATTCTATGTAAGTATATGAATGACGTACTTATTTTCAATAAATTCGATTTGATTTGAATGATATCGGATCACTCCAATTTACCAAGTCCAGGCCACAGACAGTATTTCAGTGAAAATATCGGAGCTCACCGTACTCTATTAATTCAAGACTCGATAACCGATAGCATCAACTAAATTATCCGCTAATGGTATCTTGCACATTCCATGTCCATTCAGTAGCTACCCATTAGACTATTACGTCAAATCAGGACCACCGACCCATCTTGATCGCCCATGGCTGGTCTAAAAAGCCTTTCAAATTGTAAACAATTTCCATGCGCATGTAAATGCAAGCAGGTACTACCTACCGTACGGATGCCGTACACTGGTTAAACTGATACTATTAAAATTGATCCGGGGCTTATCTAGGCATGAATCGGGCTCTTAAAAGTTAAAATGCAAGGCAATTAGACGGTGCGATGGTCAGATAAGGCGGTAAGATCGACGACCACAGATACCATGACACGGCCTGCTTTATTGGTGCTGTTTGGCCATTCGAAATGGAACTACTTCATTACGTATGGTGAAAGTTCAAACGGGATTCGCGGAAAGCATTGATTGTTGCATTTTTTTGGTGTGGGTTAGACAGATACACCAGTTATGGATCGAGAATATCGAATTTTATTTTCAAAATCCGGGGTATGTTACTAAAAGCTTTTATTTAACTTGACCTCTTTGTTAGTATGTTAGTATCTACGTACGTGTGGGATATCTTGGAACTAAGTTTTGAACCACTTCACCTTAACTAATTGAGCTACAATTTTGTAAACATGTTTGGTTTGCATAACAATATGAAATAAATTAACCGTCGTCATTTTGAATTTAATATGGCGGGTGCCTCAAAATAGGGACTCATCTTTTCCCCAGTAACCATTATGATATGGATATCAAATAAAATGACTTTATCAGAGAAACGCAATAAGTGAAGTGACGTCATTCTAAATCAAATAAGGCGGCCACCGGAGAATAGCGATTTACACATTTTATAGTCACCCCTACATTATGGGTATCAAGAGGCTTGATGAGAGAAACACAATAGCCACCGCGACAGGGTGATTTACATCTTTCACAGTCACTCCTATGATATGGGTTTTCGATGGAGAGGTTTGATGACAGAATCATAATGAGCATGGTGACGTTGGTGTAAATTTAATTTGGCGGCCGTTTCAAAATGTTGAGAGAAATGCAATAACCAGAGTGAAGTTATTCTTCGTCCAATATGACTACCGCCCCAAGATGGCGTTTATAAGTATTATAGTCACCCCTATGATGTAGGTATCAAGTTAAAGGCTAGAGGTTAACAAGCAAGGTGGTATTATTCTAAATCCAATATAGCGACCACCGCAAAATGGGGACTTACAATTACGATATACACTCATTTACTAAAGACCTTGATGAGGGAAACAAGGTCACGTTGTCGCAGCTAAATAACGTCATTCTAAATTCCATATAGCGCTCTCAGATATATTGATTTATCATTATTTGATTCATATTTACAGAAATTTTATAATATAGATGGAGTAAAAAGTTTTATAGAGTCCTATTAATAAAATGTATAAAATTTATACAGAACAAAACTCCATCTATAACACCAGAATCGACCATTGTGGATCGCGCATCGCTGCTATTAGTTGGAAATGTCATGGATCTCAGTTCGAGATTAATAGCCGTGCCGCGAGATGGCTGATGATTCTGGCTGAAAGTAGATGTGGTCTACTTGCCATTGACCAGATTAAACAAGAAAAATTTTATATTAATTCGTCTCAGGTAACTTCGGAAGCACCTATGCTTTGTAAAGAACTGCGAGGTATAGTAATCTGTCCATATTGTTATATTGTCACCCCAGTATCTGAGATATAGAATAAACCTTTTGGTCCACGCTCCGCTGAAATATATTAGTAGCTTGTAGAATACATTAGCACATTAGCACATTAGCACCCACATCTGGATAATACCTTCTTCTTGAAAGGCAGCAAACTTTCCAGTGGATAGGGCCAAATCCTAAAAATCCCCAAAATGGTATGAAAAATCATGCTAAAGCCATTCAAAGGGGCACATACGACTTATCCATAGTTCTTATGTGTTTGAAAACGATCTAGAATTTTTGCCTTTGCCCTATTGACTCTGTCGACCATCTGGCAACATTGCTGAACCACACCCGTCAAATACAGTCAGACGCCGTGCGACCGACATCGCGAGATGCGTCTGTTGAAGATATTGCGCTATCATTCTAAGTATACAAAGAAATCTATGATGTGTGAAATATGTACCAATAGGTGCATACAGTTATAGGGGCTGGAATCGTATAAATATGCTAGCGCCAAAAAATCGAGCCCACTCCCATAAACACCCGAATCTCAATTTGAGAATTCAAGAAACGGGTTTTGAGCGCTTTTTATGTCATCATTTCCTTTTTTGCCTGTAGCTCCGCCGCCTGTTGATCGATTTTCACAAACTTAACCTTGCATCAAAACTTCATCAAAATATGAGCGGTAATTTCCAAGCTATCAAAGCTTAGCAGACAGAGAGACCGACATACATAAAGATAAGCATACTGTCACTCAAACAAGAAAATAAGTTGCATAGTTTTTTGTTATGTACATACGTCAATTTATTCCAAAATTTTTTGTCAGTGGCGCGGGCAGTAAAAAATGTCAGTGGATTCTCGACATGCGTTATACCACTTGAAGAAATGCCTTAGAAAGCTTAACAATAAACCTTATAGATTGCGATATTGTTCTTACAGAGAAATGCATGATGTGAGCAGCGTTTCGTTGTCTGTGAGAAATTCAAACCTTCCAAAAACATGAATATTCAAAAATGAGATAAATACAGATGCTCATGTGTATCATATGTGTACTAATTAAAATTTATACCTTCCTGTTCTTCATTCTCAACTACGGGCGCCTAAAACTGAGCATCATCATTAAAATACTATTAAGAGAGCAAAGGAAGAAACTAATAACAGATACGAATGATGAGGCTTTACAATGCAATAAAACTTCTCGTAAGTGCGTGTTCTTTTTTATTTCATCACACTAATCTCTGTACTGTTATTTGTAACCATTGATTCAGCAACAAACCTGCACGAAACTATAACAAGGACTGTTATTAGGAATTTTGAATATTGTGCTGATTGCAGGTTATAATCAGGTTCAAAGTTGTAACGATCGTAGAGTGGGATCCTGATATTAGGTATTTGTTGTAATCTAGGCGCCTTTATACCTTCATTTGAATTATACTGTCCGCCTCCGGATAAAAAACAGTTTCAGGATATTCCCAAGATCGGATCTGAGCTTTAAAAAATAGGCTTGTATATAGGTCTTTTCACTGTTTTCACGTTCATGTTTCCAAAAAGATATTATCTCAGTTTCTCTTTCACGTACACATGCAATTTACCTCTGATGATTGCTTGTTAACCTCGTTTACGATTTTAGTTTTATTTCACAATCTCCAAAATGTTCTTGTAACGTCTGAGGGTTCTTCAGCTATGTGCTACTATCAGTGCAATCCACGTGAACCAACTGTAGCCTTCTATATACAGAATCCTAGGAATATTGTCAGTAAAACTTAAGGGCACGTGGAAATATGAAAAATGTGTCATGTTGACATGGGTTTGGAAATATTCCGTGTTACAGTGTTCAAACCTGTTCAGGTGTTTGCAATAGTATGGCACTAGTTTCTAGAAAAATACGTGTGCTAATACTGTTTTATGATGGACTGGATAGTATTTTTTTTTCAAAAGAACGACTCAAAGAGCTTTTTCAGTACAATTAATGTTGTTTTAGAGGACATCAACTTTTTGTTTAGCACAAAAAATTGTCGGTACCAACGCCACTAAAACAAGTGATTTCAGTACAGTGTTGTTCTGTCATTTTCAGTAATACATAATAACCGCATATCATAGTCATACGTATGCTAAATTGAAACGTTAGTAAGTTAAGACCACGCTAAGACTCGAGTTTCCATTCGCCCCGTGCGACCGCCCGATAACACCAGTATATTCACTCAACTTGGTGGGAAAAAGTGCACTCATACTTCTGCACAGGCCATGCTCTATGTATTTTCCACTCATTTGCCATTGAAGCAAAGGTGTGACAGGTTTATCTTTATAGTTTGAGATTATGATGTAGATCGATATAAATATAATAGATTGCAGTTAACTGAATTATATCTAGTCAGGTCCGATGTGAATATTAGCTCTTCTCTAAGAAGTTTATTTTGACGTACTTTTGTTTTGGCAGGCACTATCATAATATGTTGCTCTCCTTTATGTAATCAAAAATAAATATGGGTCGAGTAGGTCGACATTGTACCATTTTACTTTACTCGATTATTTCTTTGAATCATAATTCAAATGGCGTTAGGTTGTGGAATAAGCCGAACATAATCTGCTTGAGGACATAGTTGCTTGGGAAGAAAGGAGTTATTTGACGTCATTTTTTAAATGCGGGATATGGTGCTTGTTCTATTTGGTCTGTCTCCTCCTCGGACTAAGACTTTTTCTTGGTCCAGTCTTTTGTGGAATTCTTGATGTATATTCTAGCCACACCAGAAAAATGCTTTGGACCTATTAGACCAGGGTTTCCCAACCTTTCTTTGTTGAGGCTCCCCGGACTATAAATTTAATTTTCGTGCCCCCCTTTACTTTTTCAATAAATACAAAAAACGCACATTTTATAGGTACAATACAACGAGTTGTATTTTAATTCTAATAAAGAAACTTTAAAAGTTTAAACAAACTAATAAATATTTTTTATTGAAAAATCTGAATAAAACAAGAGTAGGTACTATGAGAGACTTGAGATTGCATGTTCTGTACCAGTTGGTTGATTCTAGGTTCTGTTTTTGCCAGAGCTATCATCAGGTCGCTATCGACATCAAGACGATTTCGCTTTTCAGCTTTAATTAAAACTAGAACAGAAAAGCCTGTCTCACATAAGTAAGTTGAAGAAAAAGGAACTAGTATTCGTAAAGCAAGAGAAGCAAGTGTCGAATTAACAGGCAATCTTTTGATCCAAAATTTCTCCAGTGTTAAAAGATGGAAGTCATCTTTCATGGACGAACCATCCTTCATTTCTAGAAATTGTTCTTGAACTTCTTCTGGTAATTGTGACATAGTGTTGTTTCTGCCCTAAAGTTTCAAGTTAAGCTCATTCAAGGAGTCAAATATGTCAGTTAAATAAGCCAACCTCCATTGAAATGTGTCATCTTTGAACATTGCCAAGAAATCGTGTTTTTCTTTGAACTCAAGAAAAAGAATTACCTCTTGTTTCAATTCATAAAGGCGAGCCAACATGTTGCCTTTAGACAGCCAGCGTACTTCTGTATGGAACAGAAGAACTTTGTGATCAGAATCGAGACCTTCGCAAAGTAAAGTAAATAACCGACTGTTCAAAACGCTGCTCTTGATGTAGTTTACAATCCTTATAGCCGAGCCCAAAGCCTGGCGTAATTTCTGGGGCACTGTTTTGGAAGACAAAGCTTGCCGATGAACAACACAATGTGTACTAACCATTGCGGGATTTTGTGCCTTGAGCTTTTTAGCTAAGCCCGATCGTACACCTATCATTGCAGGTGCGCCATCTGTACAAAGTCCAATGAGTTCCAAATAATTTTTTTCAACAAAATTTGATATTGTATTAAATATATCTTCAGATGTAGTACCTTCTGTCAAAGATTGGGAGTACAAAATCTCTTCTTGAATGATACCTCCGCCGATGTAACGAACATAAACTATCAATTGTGCACAATTAACGATGTCAGTGGATTCATCGCAACTACTGGCAAAAAATGGCAACACTTTTGCTTTGTTAATTATTTGTGACTTTATGTCTGCTGCAATGTCATCGATTCTTGACTGTGTTATTCGATAGAGAAATAGACTTCATTCTTTGCTCGGCATCTTCTATAATTATCTGAGTGGCTTTTAGGACACATGGTTTTATTAATTCTTCACCGATAGTATGAGGTTTCTTTTGCTTTGATATCATAAAAGCTATTTCAAATAAAGCTTTGAGATGCCGCGATATATGTGTTATAACTACCCGATTTATCCAGCCTCATCCGCTTGAGTGATTCTGGTTTAGAAGAAAAAAACTCTATTGTCTTCAAAAACAGAGTAGGATGTTGTTGCTTCAAATGCCATTCAAGGAGATTGGGTCTCAAGCTATCATTACTTAAAACTTTCATACATATCACATACTGAGGCAATTGTAACTCTTCTTTTTCTATGAAGGTAAATCCAAACTTAACGTAATCTCCGGATAACTTTCTTTTTTTCGCTGCCATTTTGCACCTATAACAATAAAACAAATAAATAAATAAGCAAAATCCCTACATGTAATTACTAATTATATGCCCATTATTTTATCTTAATAACGTAATATATTCAACAGTATATTGGCCACCGGCAGTTGATGTTATGATAGTAATTTTAAATACATTTGGAATCAATATTTGGTCGTTTCAAAATTATTTCGCCACGTTGGTTTGATTGTGATGTGGTGAAAAAGTCCCAATGGCCGATCTATGAAGGCGTCACCACTCAACAATTTAGTAAATTAAATAAAAATGGTATCTGAAGTTTCCGAATACCTTACGTTTTAACAGTGAGACACAATAACTTGACACACTCAGATTTCTCATCAAAACATGTACATCGAAACGTCAAATTTTTCGCAAGTTTGTGGGAATGAATGTAGGTACACAATTGTTTTCTAAGTGATAAATGTTAAGCGGAGCGCGGCGGAGGCTGTGACTTGTCGAAACTTATAACGTATAAACTGCGATTGACGACGCCGGGTTGTGAAACAGCAGTTGACAGAATAAGTGAATATTTAATTTCTAATTTTATGCGTGTAAATTGAACATTACATTGTAATGTTGTAATGTTATTTGTGAATGTTGTTTGTTTACTTTTTTTTATTCTAAAATGCAAACTCTTTCCGCCCCCCTTGACATCTTTCTATGCCCTCTTGGGAGGTGCGCCTCCCTGGTTGGGAACTCGTATTAGACGATTAGACGCAGCATATGGTGAATTGCACCTTCTTCCTGGTAATGCACGTCTTTTCGTAGATCAAAGAACTCACAGTTAAGCATTAAGTACATATATATTAAAAATGTTCATGTGAAAAACACGCGAATGACATTCATAAAACCCAGGATCGTATAACACGTAATGAAAGCGTTTCATAATCAACAATTCATGCTGTCGTGATATGAATGCAATTCTTTCCTGAGACAGAGGAAGAATTTTTAAACAGTTATTTTCCCAGGAGATAATCTATCAGGCGAGTTCTAATAGTAGCTTTTCTCCGCAAATTACAAGGATCCACCAAGGAAGCATCCATTGTATAGCACTAACAATATTGTTTTTAACGAGGAAACATATATTCCTAAGGTAGGTGCACCTTAGCATATTCACTACTCTTATTAAGAACGGACACTAATTAAAAGTACTACTCGCGTATGTGCTGGAGGTTTAATTAGGAGACGTTGGAACGGTAAAAAGTTACGAACGAAATCCACTTTATTGGTATGTCGTAGGAGGCAAGGGCGGAGCTAAGGTAGTTTCTGCCAAAGGTGTTGCTTAAAAAAGAGCACAAATGAACCACTAATACTACTACATACTACAGTGTATTAAATGTTAGTTCTGTATGAAAAATTAAATATGAATGCTCGCTTCCGGAAGAGATATAGACTTGAGCCCTTTGGATTACGGTTGCCATAACTTTTTCGAAGGATTGAATAGAGCTATTATGAATAACTCTACGCACATATTTCTCTTCGACTGCTCTATGGAGCTAGATTTGTTATCATTATTCTGATGTTTTTGAAATCCTCACAGAAATGAGTTGGGGGTTGTTAAATTTGGTGATTTCAGGTGTCAGGTGACATCGCTTAATGCTAAGACTGAACCCCAGAAAACACTATCGGCATAACATTTTTAGCTCTCTAGATGTGTTACACGTTGCTTAGTTCATCTGGAGTCATACCGTATGCAGGTTAAATTGCGGATTTATAGGATTCACAAAGATTTGTATCATATATCGATAGCACTTCCCCGTGACAGTAAGAGCTCTCCCTTACCGGGATGCCATGGTGACGTCGCCAGGATCCGTAGTCAAACTAACAATATTGAAATACGTAGCAATGCCCCTGACCTGGCGACTGATGGCGAGCAGCGAATGCTGGTTTCGTCAGACCTTCAACTTCTTTACGAACTTCTTTGCGGATGACACTTTCAACAACAAAACAGTAAAATACTTGAATAATTCTCACATTTTTTCAGAAAACCAGATATAAGTACCTTCGTGCAAAATTTTGTGTTGCCCCCGTTTCGAGCTGAGTGAATCCGTTTTTTACTTCGGAGCATTTTGATCTTTGAATAATAGGGATCGTACGCCTCTGGAGTTGTTAGAGTTTTTCGAATACTACTTCTAAGACAAATAACAAGATGTGTGCACGTAGTATTTAATGACTGAGCCACCAATTAAACCCTAGGATAGTGTTTGAAAATACCGACAGAAAATATAAGAGGTACTTTTTAGTAGCCGTCGTAAAGTTCACTCAGTTCCGTGTATTTGGACAGTAAATAGATACGGTTGACAGGCAAACAAGGAAAATATTGTGTAGGATTAGGAATATTATTTCAGGAATGTTTGTCTTTAACTAATATTTGTACAGCAACATATAAGGTATGTAATCTGATATGATCACAGCTCATACTCAATCCAAGCCGTTTGTCTATTCTATCGACAGGCTATACATGCAGCTTTGATAATTGGATGAGGCGACAAGTACGCTAGACAAAAGTTCTTGCAATGGTGCATATTTTGATATCAGCACTATGCACATAGATGAGACGAAAACTCCGCATTCGTTGTAGAAATTATTTTTTTTCATAATCTGGAGTTTTTGTGTCCAATGTGAAAAAAATGTTTGCAATTTGCATGAAAAAATTCTTAACTCAATTTGCACAAGGCTACCACCACCCGACACACTATTCATGATCTTAGACGTTAATAGATGGGGATGTACCACTCCAGAACTATGGACCGAAGTTTCTTACCTTATTCCTATGCTCAAAGTTTTATCTGTAACCTTCCAAACTTACATCTGTATGGAGGATATCTCGTGAGAACCTAAAATTATGAAGCTCAGAATGAAGCTTTGATTCTTAACAACGGTACGGGTTCAACCCCCTTTCCCCGGTATCCCCCTATAGCCCCACGATACCCATTCGTGGTTGTTGGAGTATAAAAAAACACTTTCTAAGATTATATGCGAAACTTAATTTACTTTTAAGTGCAATGCAATGAAGTATTGTGAGTATAGACTCAGTACGCAACCTGCTTTTGGAGTTTTGTGTACAAAATTTCGTCATCTATCCCAAAATCTTTCCATAAACATAGGACAAAAATTCAACGAGCAGTTTGAACTATTTTGAGACCATTTTATCGTTTGGAGATCCATTTCGGAGATGCATGAGGAATAAATGTTTCACAAATGATTTTTTAGCAACAATCTGTTGTGAAGTCACTCAATGTACAAGTCTCCTGCCACTGGCTTTCTTGCCTTTAGTCAGTCCGTCTCTGTTTGACATTATAAAATTCCGATGTTTGAAGAAGATCATCTTCCTATACAACATAGCGAATAACTATAATGCCAGCAAAAGTGCACATTTTATGGTAATTGGGTAGCAGAAAGCAAACGTATATGCAAAAGGTGTTGCGAGCTGCGTTTCCACGTATGCTTCTTCATATCGCACAATCAGTCCAATTTAAAATGGCATTTCAATAGGTTCACTGGTTGCACAATGCTCCGAGTCAGGAGCTGAGACCGACCTAAGCATATCTCTCTGTCTTTTTCTTACAAACACTTGGACCCAATTGGCAGCATTGGAATTTTCGCTTGCATATTTGGTTCGTGACCGTTCTACTGCCTTTGGCCTAGTAGTCCAGGGTCTTATGTGCTGTGATAGGACCATCATATTTCAACTTTGAATACCTCTCTAAACATTGAACTGGCCGAATATTCTTCTGTGATATATGTCAACCATCAAATAAAGAGTACGTGTTTTTGAAAAGGAACCTCCTGATTTCGATACAAAGTAAAATATAGTCATGAATGCATATAAAAGAGTAGTTCTACAAAATTTTAATCGCTGGAATTGAGTATGTACATCCGTTTTTTATGATACAGTTTATTTCGTCTTCGCTCATATGTGTATTATATGCATTCTATATGTTATGGCGTTGCCTTTTGATAAAACTGATACAGTATCTTGCTTTAAAACAGTCTGGCCTGGTTCACCATAGACTTGCTAAAAAAAAAATAACATGAAACGTCTGTGATTTGACGCCCCGTGCCGTCATCTGTCAATGAAAAATGTTCATCGGCCTTCTTAACCTTTCCCGTGGTGTTATGGTAGGTTGGAGAAAACGGATAGAAAAAATAGTTGCAATAAAGCGCACAAGTAAAAGCTGTGAAATGTGATACTGTTTGACAATTGACAGCACTATCACGAGCTCCTCCAGGTTGTGCTATATGTTTGCAGAACTAGTTCAAAGTTTGGCAAAAGAAAGTGCTATTAGTCTTTTGGCACCCTTATTTACATGAACTAATTCTTGCTTACGGGCCGTGGGTCATACAGTTCTGGTTTCAAGATAGCCATTTTTCGGAACCTTACAAAAATATAACGGCACTAACTTTAAACTACTTAGATTAACAATGTAATGGAAATAGTTGTAAAAGTTATTTTACTGAGAAAACATTATTTAAAATCAATAACTATAATATTTTTTTTTAAATCTTTTAAACATGTAAATTATGACTTTCACTACTAGAAAGAAATAATATAACCATCTGGTGGGACGTGGTCGTGATCAAATGAAGCTTTAAGGTTTAGCAGATTCCGTATATTAACAAATGAACTGCAATTTATTGAGTAGCTTGTATAATATTATGTTATAGCTAGACGTCGATTGAAAGAATGGTATTTCTGATTGTAGAGCTAGAGTTCATCTTGTCACATCTGATGCTTTGTCTTTTTGATGTGTATTAATAAGAGTATTATGGGATGGTCCTTGGTTTCTATCCATAAGAATGGTAATGTTGAAATACGTTATACACAAATCTGTTATATTGGTTTTTTATAATCTGCATTGTCACGTTTATTCATCTCTCACATTTTTTGCAAGATCCTTCTGTTATATCTATCATTTCTACGCGGTACCTCATAAGAAACCAAGCCTTGATGATTATAATGGGGTGCAATGACATTACGAAATTCTTTGGGGTCAGCTAATTGTAGGTATCCGATTTCCGCAAGGTACTTTTCCTTGAGCTATAAAAATGAAATAAATAGCAACCTCTTCAATCTATTGAAGCTTAACGTTCGACTAGTCGCATTTTTTAGTTCTCTCGAAGCATTGCATAATCACGATGGGTAATGGAAACACAACAACAATCGACGCAGTTACAGCAGTTCTTTTAATTATGGCCAATTGCAGCTTCGCGCCACAACGGCCCCGCTGCACTAATCGTAATACATTCCTCAGGTAACGATTTAAACGTCAACCTATCAAGCAGCTGCCCGTCACTTCTATTGTTACCCTGCAACTTTTGTACAGTTAAGATGCAAATAGTGCTTCCACAGAGGTTACAGTCCACTAGAATGCCTTATTTCTCATGGGATTACTCGAGATAAATGTGTATTTTTACTTACAAATCATTGCTTTATAATAATATGTAACTAAAAATACTAGGCCAGTACTGGGAGCTAACCCTCGCCTATAGTTTTTTTGTTGAAAGCTAGGCCGCATTATATGGCAGCATTCGAGCTGCATATTCAAGACTTCATGAGCAGTTTAATTGCAATGGCATTGCGGTAAAGTTTTTTCATCAAAAATCTAGCTTTTGTTCCATACAAGATCATCTTAATTCAAAAAAATAGTTACGAGTTTGCCAAGAACTATTGCATGATGATAAATAAATAACGTTTTCAACCGACCTTAAGCAGTGATTATTCCTCTTCAGCAGACAACTAAATTTGTTCATCGGACATCATAGTTTTTATTGTTTACCTAAGAATAAGTAGTTTTAACAGTCTTTATTCGATTTCTCAGGATCTTGAAAACCTAGATATTAGTTTTATACTCATTTTCAATATATCAGAAGATGATTGCCATAATTTTGTCTATATACATACAGTAACTGGACCATTCATTAGGTATTTCTGTAGATGCCCTGATAAAATCGTTATTACCGTGGTACTATAAGGAAATACCTATTTGAAGTATTAAACCGCGACACCCTATATCTTGTTAATGAACGGCATTCTACCGAGGTGGTTCAATATCATCATTTTCTTGAGTTTATAGTATTGCTCTTTAGTACGTACTGACCATATTTATAGAATCAAAAAATTGTTAACCTTTCTGACCAATGCAATTTGTCAATCAGATCTATACATGTATCAGTGGGCTCGTATTCTGGTACTAACATTCTAAGCTGTTACACAGAGACACAATAGTTCAAAGCACAATTAGATCGTTCCTACAGGCCCTCATAGCATCCACAATCTTCTGAGCCCATTGGCGAAGATCTTTCTAATCTCAGCGTTATGTTAATTTGGCGTATCTCCTTTGGTAATAATCCACCCCCAGCGACAAAAGACAAAATAAACCGCACCATATGCTACGCGGAACACTACATAACAGCTCTCACACATAATTTTACATAAAGTTCGCCCATAGCGGGCTCTACTTACTGCCCCAAAGCCATACTAAAATGATCCGTTTAATTTGCGAGCATTCTGCAGCGCTGCAGTTGATGTATCATTAAAACATCTTCCTCGCCTGGTAATTTTTCTGGTCAAATTTGCCAGAGAACTCTGTACACGCTAGAACTCATAATGAACCATGAAAATTGTAACAGAAGACATCAAATTCAGTTCAACATGCTTAGAAACCATACGTGCTGGGCAGTTTTAGTGTTATCATATACAATACAATGCGATACGATGCGATACGATGCGATACGATGCGATACGATGCGATACGATGCGATACGATGCGATACGATGCGATACGATGCGATACGATGCGATACGATGCGATACGATGTGATACAATGCTATACAATGCGATACAATGCGATACAATGCGATACAATGCGATACAATGCGATACAATGTGATACAATGGGATACAGTACGATACATTGCGATACAAAGCGATACAATGCGATACAATGCGACACAATGCAATACAATGCAATACAATGTAATACAATACAATGCAATACCATGCAATACAATGCAATACAATGCAATACAATGCGATACAATGCGATACAATGCGATACAATGCGATACACTGCGATACAATGCGATACAATGCGATACAATGCGATACAATGCGATACAATGCGATACAATGCGATACAACGCGATACAACGCGATACAATGCGATACAACGCGATACAACGCGATACAACGCAATACAACGCAATACAACGCAATACAACGCAATACAACGCAATACAACGCAATACAACGCAATACAATGCAATACAATGCAATACAATGCAATACAATGCAATACAATGCAATACAATGCAATACAATGCAATACAATGCAATACAATGCAATACAATGCAATACAATGCAATACAATGCAATACAATGCAATACAATGCAATACAATGCAATACAATGCAATACAATGCAATACAATGCAATACAATGCAATACAATGCAATGCAATGCAATACAATGCAATGCAATACAATGCAATGCAATACAATGCAAAGCAATGCAATACAATGCAATACTTGTTTGCTGTTTCATCAATGTGCATGTCCCATTTCAATTTGTTGTCTATGAGTATACCATGTATTTGTGTTCTGGATCTTTTAATAAAGATATATCATATTTACCGTCTTGTTTTCATTCAGGGTCATCTTATTTGCATCAAACCAGTTTTTAGCAGTCGACTCTGCGATCACGTCCTCTTGAGTAAGCTCAGAACTATATTTAGATCTAACAGAGATTGCAGTATCATCAGCAAATTGTGTATATATAATTTCCATCTTTGTGGTTCGGCAAATCATTGATGTATATCAGAAATAAAATCGGCCCATGCACCCTAGGATACACCGCGTTCAATATAATTTTCTATCAGCGTGCGGAAAGTAGTCACCTTCAACACGCATCTGCGTGCAGAAAGTAGCGCTTTCCCGCACGCATAACAGTGTTATCTTCGCTTGGCGTCATTCGTGCAACTGCCGTCGTGTGCAGAAAAGTCTCACTTTCCAAACTTGTTAGGTAAATAACTATTTCATCTGATGTCGATTTTCTGATTGGTTAAGCAACAAATGCTTAAATACGAGTCGACTAGGTTGCAAGAAGTTTCGAAGTTATACATTCTGAGCTTTGCGATTAAAATGTTATGTGATACACAGTCAAACGCCTTGCTTAAATGACACAATATGTTCTGTAAGGATTATTTTACTTTAAATGCGTCAACTATGTCACCGACGAACTTCAAATCTGTGAAGGTTGTATTGTTTGACGTCAAAATCTAAACTAGTTTTAATAGAACATGATGTTATTTGCAAAATGTAAGACGATTGGCTTTACCAAGCTTGTTTCGTAAATTTTGCGGAAAACAGGAAGTAACGATATTGGGCGATAGTCATTATCAATCGAATACGTCTAATAACATTTTATTCATTCATCCTTTTATCGTTCCTCAAACAAATATGGCGAGCTTAGGTAATATTATAATCAGATTTCTCACCTAAGTCCAGGGCCAGCTTTTCAGCAGTGCGTGTAGGCTGTTACTGTTATTTAAAAAAGGTTCTAATAAATCCATTTCATTGCTCGATAAACTATGATTGAACTGGGCGGTGATCACATGGAAGTATTGACTAAATATTTATCTTTATGTCTCTGAATTCGAATCTCTTGAAATCGTGCGCGAATGATATCAGCGCGAACGGAAGTTGTCCAGATAATAACCATGTATAGTTAGAGCCAATTATTAAAAAAATAGTTGATCAACAAAGCAGTTATATTCATTCTATAAATGATAAAGATACAGGAACGTATGAAAGTTGACTCAGATAGTATACAAGCTGGATATACAAAGTCCATTTGTACAGAATTACATATACGTGTATAGTCAATCTCTAACACTTATCATTTTTTGTTAACTACATTTCCATTGTGAGATACTCATGTGACTCTTTAAATGAGTTGATTTCCACGCAATATTCAAAGGTTGTATTTATGGGTATCGGTTATTCAGTATCTTAGGGTTTTGCAAAGTTTCACTTATGCCGCTGCCTTAAAATGTATCGCAGGTTCAATAGACAGTTAAAGCGGTGAGTTGGTACCGGGAACTACAGTCGAGCAAAAGGTGTGTAACAGCAGGGTTCCCCTTATCACGGACATCCCAAGATGGAAGAATCTAACAGGTCTGCAGCGGCAGTGTTTCGCACCGTGCTGACAATGAGAAAGAAAGAGATAAAAAACCGTAACGCGGCAACGACGGGGTATTTATTGGCGCGGACAGATCGTAACACAACAAGAGTTACGGTGTCGACAGGGAGGCTCTGTACCAAGGTTGCTCCACATGTTAGTCAAGTCGAGCTTTTAATTTAATTCTCAGAGTATTGTGATCAGACATCATCTTAGCTTTTGTATGTCTGATTAAAACTCCTCTTCACTCGTTGACCTCAATTAGCCCTGTAACAATTTTGATGGTAGGAAGAATATCCTGCGAGATAATACAAGACAAAGCTACTGCTATAATTTTCCCCCGCAATTTTGCTGACCGCTAAGCCTGTTAATCAAACCTGCCAGGTTTCTGTTTCTGTTGTGGAACCATCTGCTTAAGGAGATTTTTTGCGGCACTCATGACCTGAACCTGAAGGTTGAGATACAAGTAAGCAGTACAAACTTACATAAAAACATAATGTCGACCCCTGCAAGGAACACTATTGTATCTCAGTTTTCGTTGAACTGAGATATAGGCATTAGACGATTTTTTGCTGAATTTCGTTGTCAGAAAAATGATGATCTTATCAAATATATGTTGCACATTGCAGTGATTCTTGTATATAGAAGGTTATAAACGGTATTACAATACAAACCTAGTGAAAATGACAATTTTTTTTCATAAGTTTTGTTGACTTACTGTAGTTTTCATTGGATCAATTTAAGAAAAAAGTATACATGCTCTAAACTTAGTAGGACATTTATTGAAATATTACAGTATTTTTCAAACTAATGGTTGAAAAAACCTCTTTAATGAGAATATGAGTAACTCAAATTATATTCATCTTCGTGTTCTCCACTATCATCGTTCTCAACTTCTGTATTCTCAGCACTGTTAATTTTATGTCCTCTTTGTATTTTTTACCTTCCTTGGCTTTTAGAGAAAAATGAAAAGCAGGTAAGCCTGAAGAATGCTAAGAAGACTGTTTCCATTTGTTTTACATAGGTCTAATAAACCATTTAATTTTCTAGCATCTACTGTGTACAGCAAAGGTAGTTCCTGAAGCGTATTGTTTTGCGGTCTCATTCTGTGATAATCAATGTTAGTATCGTGAGATCATTTCTCGAGGCACTTATCTTATTTATTTTTAACTTTTCATCCACAATCGTCTTTGTTCTAATTTTTCGATTTTACCTTTTATTTAAAACTAATGGATACACGACCAACCGCAGACAGGGCTGTATCAGGTCCAGACTTGGAGGTTAAAGAATGAAAAGCAAACACGCGAGTGTCATCTCAGCTAAACCGAGAACTGTAGTAGTTGAATTCTCTGTTAAACTTTTTTATTTCTCACGTATCAGAGAAAGAGACTGATGCGACAGATCCCAATGCATAACGTGCAGAAGAGGATGCTATATTTGAACTTTTTTATTGTGCTAAAAGAATTCATCACTATTTATGAACCAAGTTTTCTGAATTTAACAGTTCAACAACTGCACTTAGCTTCTTTGCATCTGCCAGAATTATTTTGGTTCTTGAATTCATTTTAGTTCGATCTGAAAACTGGTCTTTTCATACAGCTAATACTTGAAACGTTTTCGCTATTAATTACCGTAACCTCAAACTATGCCGCGAAAATCATAGTAAGTCTGAGACAGTAGGTCTAACAGTAAGTTAGGCTTTCCATGTTTTTTTGCATGGAAGACTAGAGTAACTCAATTTGATGTAGTTTTCGCGGGAGCAACCGCCACTATTATACTTACTATATTATGACGTAGAAGATTTACTGGTTGCCTATAGTTGCATGACTGAGATACCATATTGCTCCACCAAAGAGAACCCGGTACAGTCTATCGATACTATATAGTAAGTCAAAAGAAAGGATTTTTGAGTTACTATAGTCTTCGTTGCAGTGGTCGTCGATGTTTTGTTTAAGTAACGAGATTTACTTTATTCTGGCTCACCCTGTACAAGCAAAGGCTCATTTTCTTTATACAAGCAAAATTAACTTGTGTGTCGTAAATCGTAAGTGAGTTCTGTGCTGGGAGTTCGAGACTCATCTACATGTACCTACCAACTGAATTAGCAGATGTAGGCTAAAAAAATAAAGACATGAGCAATGAAAACTAATATAAAAAATAACAAAAGAAATTAGGGCGAAATTCTATCGAATAGTGGCCGATATGGACAAACCTGGAGAAAATCATTTTCACCGAATCTCTACGTTAAATGCTAGGATACAAATCTGGGTGTTACAAACACAAGTAAACCTTCCGTTTGAAGGCTTTTTACATTCTATACCATATTCACAGAATGAGCATTTAGTCAGAATGCAATGCTACTCCATAGTATTGAGACGTTTTAATTTTTTGTTGGCTCCCCCTCAGATTCTGTGCCTGGGTACGACTATAGGCTTTCCTAACTCTTTAGGGGCATACCTACCATTGCCAGGTGAGCTTCTACCGTTTGCCTACTGGATTTGGTATGTTAAGTCTTTTCTCAATGGCTTTTTTGCAATAAAAACAGCCTATCTACAAAATTGTTTTTCCGCATCAATCGGCTGAAAGTTGTTCATCCTTGCTTTAGCAACATTACCAGTCTAGTAAACCGTCTAAGGTTTCAGTCGTAAGCATTTTTTAAATGAACTCAAGTTACTTCTATATTCGGGTTTATACGAGTATATTAAGTGGAATTGCCCGCAATTCCCATACTTAAAGGCACATCGCATTAGTGGTTCTATATGATATGTTATATGCTACTCTCCTCGGTTTTGGTACCGGATTATATCAAAAGGGTCTGAATCTAGACAAAATTGACTTCTTAGTTGGAAATTGTTTACATCCCTTTCCCGTCGACGATACAGTCCCTTCTTACAGGTTTTTCGCTGGCATCTTAGAATGAATTACAATACAATAAAATATATATTTGTACTGTGGAATAGAAATCAATTGAATCCTTTATATTGCCCTCATATGAATCAGCTAATATCATATGATTTTTATTCCATTTTCTATAAAACGTGGCCATAACTGTATAATTATTATTAACATAGTTGATATTAAGATCTTCATGTCAAGCTAGAAGTTACCACGTGAGATAGGTATAAACACCAAGAATGTGGTTCTTGGAGACAGAATGTTGACATGGCGTCGAAATAAAATAAAAAAATCAAAAACACGATTGTCATAATGTATTTTCATTTCAAGAATGACTGGACTATAAGGTAGTCGTGCCGACAGCGACGCGGCATTGGCAGTCGTACCAGCGGCGTGACGCGCGGCACGGTGCAGCGCGTTGACGTTACGCAATCTATGCACATGCGGAACGGTGGAATGTCCTGCCGATGGACGCGGACGCGGCAGCGTTTCGGTGAGCGTTTCCTTTTTCAGCAGAGGTGTTTGCGCAGTGCCGCCAAGCCAATAGTCGGCGACGCCACCGCACAACTATCTGTCTTGCACGACTATCGCGTTAGTCTGGTCGATGACGTACATAAAACAACGAATGTGAACCCTAGGTTACTTTGAGACCTTGCAGCTGTTATCTGTATTGATACGTATAAACTGGTAGCAACAACTAATAATAGTATATGCAGCTTAGCTGCAGCAAATCTCTCTGAAGAACACTAGCTTTCGGTCAATAACCGGCCAGAATGCAAGAAATCACTAAATATGACATACTAGAGTTGAGTTACGTGCTCCACCCCTGACGTACTTGCAGAAAAGCTACATTCAGCTTATTACCGTATTCTTTTCTACTCAGTTATTTCTAGCATCAATGCATCAATAGCCTCCCGGTAAACGTATGACAGTACCGCAGACATTACCTGTTGCTGACTTAAAACCTCTTTCTATTGGAAACCTTATCTTAATTTTGAGAATATTATGAAATTTTTGGGGATCAGGACCTGCGAGTGTGGTAGAAAATCTACAAAATTCAAAGCCTGCTTGGTGTACGTCAGCCATGTCAATGTAGTAGGTTTCAATGGAGGAGGCTTTTCCCGAATGTACTAACCTCAAACAGCTTAACATCGTTTCTTTCTTTCTTCATCATTTTCATTTTTTCAACACATGTAAGCTTTTGTCAAGTCGTGGCAGCAGCGTCGTCAAAAAACGATGCCGCCTGACCGTGAAACCTGTTAGTGGCTTTTCCTTCCTACATCTCATCATTTTCTAGCGCTTTCTACCAACAAATTCCTTGAGGGTTGGAAAAAGGTCATGATACCAAGTCAGGGCTGTATGGTAGATGATCCAGTAATTCCCAAATAAACATGTCCAGTTGCGTCTTGGTTCTTGCCGCGACGTGAAACCGATCGCTGTCGTGTAGCAGAACGACTCTATTAGAGCGCAGGCACTGATGGAGGTTTTAAATAGCGCCTAATTCAACATTCTGCTAGTAAATTTCAGCAGGAGTAACTTTCTTTGCGTTTAAAAACCGAACTACTAAGCGCACTTCACAATCGGCGGGTCGGGTGATCGAGATGGCGACAATCAAAGTAGTATAACCACACAACCAACACCGAGAGAGACTTGAAACGTAAAAACGTACCCTGATAAAGCAAGACGCCACTACTAACTTCCTCAATGTTCCTCTTCAAACACTTCTCACGATTCTTAGATTAGTCTCTGTAATAGGTTCTTGTAATTCTGTATGTCCATCCTGTAACAACATATCATGATTTTTCTAACGTTTTGAACAGAAAACTCTCTCTTTACAGTACTATTGGCATTAAAGATCTAACTGTACTATGTAGATATATGCTCATTTGGTTGGCTACAACGCCATGTATGAGACATTAATCTTTGCAAAGTAGATTTCTAATTATTGCGGGGAGGAGAAGTATAGCTGTTTCAAATTTCCATAGATTACGGCATAATATCTCATTTTATCTTGAATATTTTTCTATTTCTTCCATCATCAATGTCAACTATGCTACAAATAACGGCACTCGCCACGATGCGCTAGCAATTGTTTGAAATGTAGATGTCGCTTCGTTGCGTACTGCTGACGTCGCCACCGCATCGCTACGACAACGACCGGTACGACTTCACAAAAAGCGCGGTAGGTACCAACGCAAAGGTGATTAATTAAGCGCTGAATGTCACACGCCTGCATGTAGCAGAAGCGATGGCGTTGTTAAGTTGCCGCCAGGTTTCGTGTGACAGCGTAAATTGCGATACGTCGTTCCTACCATAGGTCGTACGGTTTGCTTGGGAAAACAACCGTTTGGGTATTGTTGCCGGAACTGCCGCCGACTTTGCATGTGCATTTGAAATTTTTATCATGCGACACCAACAACAACTGTCGTGCTTCGAACGTTTCGTAAAAACGCATAACTGAGACCTTCGTGAATCGTTTATTTTGCCTATGTGAGGAAATGTGCTTCTTCCTTGATTGCTCGGGCCCATAAATGAAGATTCTTCTGAACTTTCAGGTAATGACGCACTTTTGCCTACTACTAACTAATTGTAGTATTTAAGTTGTAATATCCAAGCATATTATATAAGAGTTTTACCAAACAAGAGTATCTACAAGACAGCCTGGTAGGCCAACGGACGACAGTCAGACAAACAAATCGGTGGAAATGGTAAATTAATAATATAAAATTTTGGCCTCCATTGTAAAGCAAAACATTCTTCTCTGGAGTTTGTAAGCTTTCATAATTGCAATATTTCTCTCACTCATACGCGGAAGGTGAAAAACGTTAAGAACAGCCAGAATCTGCGAAAAAAAAAAATAAACTACTTATCACTATCTGCTTTTGTTCGACCAACTTGCCATGTACGGTGACATTTTATCCCCACTAGAAATCATCAGCATGATATAGATATAGTTATAGTCACCGTTGTTGGCGGTCACGTCATCAACGCCATATGAAATAAGTAAACAAATCGAGTCTCCGCACCGTGGGCGGATCTTCACATCTGTTACTCTCTCCAGTACGCATCAAGTGGGTAACAGAAGACCGCTGTTTTCACTCTCTTCTGGAAATATTCTAATACATTTACCATGAGCTGACGGCCTTCTCCATTGATCGCACTTTCGGGCATTGTAAAATTTTATATTGAAGATTGATAAATAACAGGACAACTTAAATTGCACGCCGATGTAAAGTAAGTTGTCACTCTGACAAATATGATTGATGGGCACTCATACGTAACCGAACCAACGTTCACACACAGGGGTAGGTTGCATGTATATGAATGAGGGAGATGGGGTTATACAGGGTGTTTCAGTTTATTATTGCACAACTTTAAGATTCGATAGAACTTTTAAAATTAATGCATTAAGTCTATATAAACATGGGTCGAAAAATGCGTGGCTTCCGAAATACAGGGTGTTTAAATTTATTTTCTAAAATAGTTTTTTTTTTAAATATTCCGAACAATATTTGATGTATAATAGTCAAAATTGGTATACAAGGGTTTTTTGGTACGACAAAACGAACCATGGGCATAGTTTTACTGTAGCGGCTAGAGGGCGCTCTCTACTGTACCTGTAGTGCATTAAAATGACCGAAAACTTTTTCTTAGAGCAACTGTTTGCTTTTTGAATAAAAAACTGATTCTTCGCACTTTTTAACATAAAAAAAGCTCTCCTATGAGTTTTCGTTATAGTTAGCCAATTTTGAGATATTTCGATTTTTAAGGTTCGATGCATTTTTAATTATTTATGGGAAAATAATATTTTTTTACATTTTCGATTTGGGCATTATAAGTAATTAAGATGATCGTTTAGATTGTGTTTTTAAATACAGCAATAATTCCTAAGTCCAAATAAACACAAAACACATCTACGAATGATCGAACGTGGTATAGCATTATTCAAATAAGGCCTTATTTCATCACATGCATTCCTGATTCTGTCTACTAGCATATCTCTTGTGGTTACGGGAGTCTGGTACACTTTTTCTTTTAGATATCCCCGCATAAAGAAATCTAATGAATTTAGGTCAGGGGATCGTGGAGGCCAGGCGACTGGTCCTCCACGGCCGATCCATCTTTCTGGATAATTTTCGTCCAGCCAGTTTCTAACTATTCTTCAATAATGAGCTGGACAACCATCAAGATGGAACCAGGCCAATCTTCTTAAATCTAACATAACATCATCCCACGTATTTGCATGTTCAGGCTTTAAAAATTCCAAGAAGGTCGCAGCATTTAACCTTGCAGGCAAAAGGTAGGGTCCAAATAGTCGATTACGGTAGATACCAATCCACACGTTCACACTAAATTCATGCTGAACATTTCTTTCAAGAACTGCATGCGGATTTTCATGCGACCAAATATGTTGATTATGATAATTTACCACTCCACGTCTAGTGAAGCATGACTCATCGGTCCATAAAACGTTACTTAAAAACTCCCTATTATTATCAGTTCTATCAAGAATCCACTGACAAAATGTGATTGTTCGTTCTCCGTCCCCTGGCTGTAGTCCTTGCACAGGTTGCAAATGGTAAGGACGTCTATGGTCATTTCTAAGAACACGGTGAACATGGCTTGCTGAAATTCCCAAGGCACCAGAAACTCTCCTAACACTTGTGGTCGGATCTCTATCAAACTCACGCAGAATCATACGGGTAAATCTGCGCTGACGAACATTTATGTTTTGATCCCTTTGGAGATTTCCAAAACCATTTTCAATTATTTGGCGATGCACTCTTACAAATACTGAGCGAGGTGGATGTCGTCTGATTGGAAATCTTCGTGCGTATTCTCTGGCTGCTTCTGCTGCGTTTCCATTTACAAAGCCATACACAAAATGAATATCCGCTAACTCGTGATTGGAGAATAAAAATGGCATTTTTATAAAACTTACAAAAAAACAGGTTAAAGAAACTAAATTTCGTGCATTCACAATTGCAAAAAGACGTTTCAGGTTTCAACAGACAACAAAACTAACTGTCAACTAATTGACGTTTAACCTTATTCTGCTTTCAGTTTCAAAAATATTTGCAGGCACAGCCTACTTCTAAAAATTATCGAGATACTGACGTTTTAACGTTATTTTATCATAAATAATTGAAAATGCATCGAACCTTAAAAATCGAAATATCTCAAAAACGGCTAACTATAACGAAAATTCACAAGAGAGCTTTTTTATGTTGAAACGTGCGGAGAATCAGTTTTTTCATTCAAAAAGCAAAAAACTGCACTAAGTAAAAATTTTCGGTCATTTTAATGCACTACAGGTACAGTAGAGAGCGCCCTCTAGCCGCTACAGTAAAACTATGCCCATGGTTCGTTTTGTCGTACCAAGAAACCCTTCTATACCGATTTTCACTGTTATACATCAAATATTGTTCGAAATATTAAAAAAAAACTATTTAAGAAAGTAAATTTAAACACCCTGTATTTCGGAAGCCACGCATTTTTTGACCCCTGTTTATATAGACTTTATGCATTAATTTTAAAAGTTCTATCGAATCTTAAAGTTATGCAACAATAAACTGAAACACGCTGTATAAAGGGATACTGGTAGTCTTACTGTGACCCGCCAAGAACGGTGATTACAACTATAGCAGGGTAAGCAATATCTACCAGAAATATGGTGACAATGGAAGTAGGTAGCACCATTGATTAACATATTCGTACAAAAAGAAACTTCATCAGAAAACCGCACTTGCGTGAAGAGTATACGTATCGAATTTTTGCTTACAAATATATATTATTAATCTCGGAATGTTGTTTTGGTTGATATTCAAGCTTAGAGAAGGTATGCGAATACAAAATCTTAGGAATAATTGTGTTTAAGTCTGAGGGGTGACCTTGGGTTTCAAGATTCAAGAATAAACAATTTTCTTTAAAGGGATGCCGATGAAAATTGCATGTGAACATCTAAATACAGCAAATACACCTGCTGCAACTATCAGCCTTGGATGTCAAGAGTTTGAAAAGTCAACTTGCTAAACAGCAACCCAAACCCACCAGAATTGGAAATTGGAATGTCATAGTCTGCCCACGAAGAAAAGCTTTTCTTGGCAGCTGGATTGCGTTTGCAGTTTTAGTATAAAAAATCATAGATATGATAGCAGTTCAAGTGCACCCTATTGCGTACTTTTCCAGATGTAAGTCATCCTTCCAAAGATTCTATAATATAATTTGCTCAAGATGCCTACTTAAGTACCCCATAAATAAGTTAGCAATAAGACAATGGACTCGTCGGTGATGCGAGTTGCTCTTTTATACAGGGTGATAAAAAACAGCGTACTTCCTGGGCAGAAGATACACCATAGTCATAAAATACCAAGTTACCGATAACGGGCTTATAACCCATCATCTTTCCAGACTGTTGGATTGGATTCTGTGAATTATGGTACAATAGGTCTTGTAACCTGCAGAGACACCAGGAAGTTTGCTTGGGCGATACTAGAAAACAGATGTCACGTATAAATTCAAGAAAAATTCCCTGGAGTGAATGAAGGTATCGCTTTATTTTACACATGCTGGTGAACCAGTATAACCATTCCGCGGATTAGATAGACTTTCTGTTTTTTGTGATACTTCCATAGAGGTACTAAGCAAAATCGGACAAATTCCGTACTTTGTTAGATAATAATTCATTATTTTGCACCATAGGAGAAGCGGTTAGCAAAGTCATGTTTTATGACAGGACTTTAAAAAAACGTAAAAAAACTACAAAAGGGAATTTTCAAACCTATGGTTGAGAAGTCAAGCTTAGAGCTACCCGATTTCAATTGTTTTATGCTCTGTGAATAATCTGGGTAAGCATTCAATTAATTTGTGACTTTCTGAAATTACTACTTTTTTTTTAAATAGAGGTCGCCGGAGAAAGCAGCATTATAACGAATCCAAAATGTCGGAGAAAGGTTATAGAACTAAACTGGCAATACATTCTTGCTTAAATAACTGCTTTGAAAATATGGAAATTAGGTTAACCTTTCAAAGTCACGGAACTCTATCTTCCCTAACAAATAAATGCATTTTTTGTAAATATTTTGGTATAGTTGTGGTCACCGTTCTTGGTGGGTCAAAATTAGACTTCCAGTATTTCTTTATATATATCCGTCTCCCTCATACACACACATGCAACCTACCCCTGAGTGTGAACGTAAGTTCGGTAAGCTGAAAGACATACGTTTTTTAGTTGTGTGTCTCCGTCTCGACAACTTTGTCGTTACGTATGAGTACCCTTCAGTCATATTTGTCAGAGTGACAACTTCCTTGACATCGACGTGCAATTTAAGTTGTCTTCTCATCAATCTTCAGTATAAAATTGTACAATGCCCGGAAATACGATAAATGGAGAAGGCCGACAGCTCGTGATAAATTTATTAGAGCATTTCTGGGAGAGAATGAAAACAGCGGTGCCCTGTTATCCCCTTCATGTGTACTGGAGAGAGTAGTAGATGCGCTGAAGCTTAAGATCCGCCCATGCTACGGAGACTCGATCTGTTTACTTATTCAATAT